AAAGCAAACTCTTAGGTTTATATTGTTGGATTTTCATTTATGCTTAGAAATATATAATCATATATGCTTAGAGGTATATAATCGATTGTATAATGATAGAGGTCTGATCCTTAGTAGACTGCAAAGACTCTGTGTGCCTTCCAGAGTGTTCTGGCATACTAACACATCCTAAGGTCATGAGGGAGGTCGTACCTTCTCTTACTGTTTTATGGTATGGTAAACACATCCATGTCCGTTTAAGTACAAGTGCCTTTCGTTTAGATGAACTGCTGGACTTCCAGGCCCAGCAGATTTAGGGGAGTTCTTCACAGGGTCACATCTTGACCCCCCCACACACACACACACACACGCATACCTACACTACACACAGACAAGGTACTCTTGTGTATGATGTCATATGTTAATGAGACCATGCATATTCATGTAACCACAATAAAGAGCAGTGCTACGGGGGAGCTAACTGAGAGTGACTGGGGTTCGAGCGGCAGGAACAGCGCTCGTCTCGGGCATCTCCCTCGTGCACATCATCATACAAAGAGCTCTGGTGACTTGTTTTTGCTGTTGTAGTAGAATTGTCTCATACCAACAATAGGTCTGTGCTAGACAAACCTATCACAAACACACTTGGTCGATGCTGAGAGTGGTCCTGTTGCTGAGGTTGGGGTCATCCTGTAATCTCTTATGAACTACCTCCAGCGTTTCAGTGACTGGCACACAAGTGAAGAGAGATGTAACATCATACGAGACCATGGTTTGATCTGCCTCCATGATGGCATCTCTCACCTTCTCAACAAAATCCAAGGTGTAAGTGTCCATCTGTCACCATCTTACAATGCTGTGATTCCAGCCATTCCCCAACTCTCTGTGAATGGGACTCATGGACATGGATCAGTGGTTGTTGATCGATTGTCAATGCATATTAATGATCATAAACTGACCTCACAGTCCATTGTTCATTCAGTGGTGCTAGTTTCAGTCATTGTACAAATGTGCTGTTTATAAGATTGGAGACCTCAGGTCACCTGATGATGATGAAACGTTTCTCGCACTGAAAACATCCAGGTGAACAGAATCAACCTGTTGGGATTTACTAGCTGGATGACTGAGCGTGCATCCAGACAATATTTCACATTATCCATTTTTAAATACTAAAAGTTAAATACATCCTTAAAATACTCATTAATTCAATTTTTAATCATCAATTACATGTTATAGTGAAGTTAAAAAATATGGAAGCAATTTAACATGATTGACATAAACTGACTTTTAGTTTCTGTTAAAACAAATGATTTGTTAAAGCAGTTGTTTTTCTTTATACAACCAGCAACATTATGGCTCAACCTTATGGCCATATTGTGAAGGTAACAATGAAGACATCTCTTCCCTGTGTTCCTCAAATGTGCAAAGACCGTTAAATATAAAGTCACCTATATTCTCCTTTGTGCTCAGGTCCTCCTGATGCTCCCAACACTCCCAGAGTCCACGAGGTGACGGCAAGCACCGCGCACATCTCTTGGCATGAGCCAAAGGACAATGGAAGCCCGATCCTGGGTTACTGGATCGAGAGGAAGGAGGTGAACAGCAAACACTGGACCAGAGTCAACCGAGCCCTCCTCAACTCTCTCGAGGTGAAGGTGACTGGCCTGATGGAGGGCTTGACCTACATCTTCAGGGTCTGTGCTGAGAATCTGGCTGGCCCCGGGCCCTTCAGTGATCCAACCGATCGCATTGTCGCGATGGATGAAATCCGTGAGTGCAGTACCAACAGAGAACTTCAAAGAGAAAGCTCACATTTTCTTAAGTGTAGCATCAGATTTTTTGGTTTGATCTACTTCTTTCTAGTCATCACACCTGAGATGAGTAAAGTTAACACATTCTTATGACTGATAAAGATGTTTCAAAAGTTGTCCTGCAAACTTTATTAAATCTTCAAAATCTTCATCGACAAGAAATTATTTTAGTCTTTTTAATTATCAAAATTATGAATGACACATTTCTCATAAATAGAAAAAACTGCATATATGCTGCTGAAGGAAGAACTTGATTGTGTAACAGTAAAGACCAAGTGCAGCCTATCATTGTTCCACTCTTCCACTCAGTGCCTCCCGGTCCACCAATTCCATGGATCGTGGACACCGGGAAGGACTCTGTTGTTGTGGCGTGGAAGCCCCCGCTGTACAATGGTGGTGGAGACATCCTGGGATACCACGTTGAGAAGGTCTGAAAAACTCAGTGAAGTAACCTCCCTGAATTACACATTTAATAATCAGTAAATCTCCAACTGTGGATCTTTCTTAAGAATCATGGCTGTGGACGTGGTCAAACTCTTGTGCTCTTGTCACAGGTTCTGGCCGGAGAGAAAGACTGGAGCCGCAGCACCGAGTTCAGGTGTAAAGAGCTGACGTACACTGTGACCGGCCTCACTGAGGGAGCAGATTATTATATCCGGGTTCTTGCAGTCAATGACGCAGGCCCAGGAGCTCCTGGTGTTACTGAGCCTGTTACCGTCAAAGAGCCCCAAGGTACCAGAAGGTCTATTACAGCGGCAAGACGCACTTTTACATATGCATTTTTAATGTGGAACAGTGTTTATAACTGTGCCTCACAAAACAGATGGCTTTCCAGTTCTGATTAACGGCTTGTGTCCTGCAGAATCTCCTGTTGTGGATTTCGATGACTCTGTGAAGAACGGCGTCATGATTAGGGCTGGCGAGTCTCTGAGGCTTCCTGCTGTGGTCCGTGGTCGACCCCAGCCAGAGGTAAAATGGGCCAAAGATGAGGCTGAAATCGACAAAGAGAGGATGATTGTGGAGACCGTGGGGAAGAACAGTACATTGTTCATCAAGAAGGCTGTGAGGGCAGATCACGGAAAGTACCAGATCACCGGCACCAACAGCAGCGGGAGCAAGACCGCCGAGACAAGAGTGGATGTTATGGGTTCGTGTTACATAAATTCTGTCATTTTAGGACTAATAAACTCGCTTTTTGGACTCAGAACACAAATGTGCATTTTTTTCTTTTGCAATTCAGAAGCACGTTGTGGTCTTTGAAGGGAACGATAGAACTGACTTCAGATCAGACTTTACTGTTGAAATCTAAATTATGTGATAAAAACTGTTATGTTCACATGAAATATTTTTACTGGTTCCTGCAGATGTTCCTGGGCCGGTGGTTGACTTGAAGGCTGTTACAGTTACCAAGAAGAACATCGTCCTCACCTGGTCTGACCCCGTGGATAATGGTGGCAGCGATATCATTGGTTATGAGGTGCTGAAGAAGGATGCAAATATGAAGCTCTTCCGCCAGCCCATTGAGACTGCATCCTGCAAGTGTGATGTCCAAGCCCTGCTGGCTGGCGACCAGTATGATTTCAGAGTCATTGCCAGGAACAAGTATGGTGATGGACTTCCAGCAGACCTGGGTCCCATCTTAGCTGAGGATCCAAAAGGTGAGCTTAGCTCACACTTTAGGGCATTAATTAAGCCTGATGAAAAATTCAGTGGCCTGATGATCCAATTTTTTCAGTGATGGCTAAATTCTTTCAAAATGTTGCAGGTACACCATCTGCCCCAGAGAAACTGCACTACACCAACAGAAGCAAGAACACCATCACTCTGGCCTGGCAGCCTCCTCGCACTGATGGTGGCAGCCCCATCAGAGGATACTATGTGGAGAAGATGAGGTCTGACAGCACCGAGTTTGAAGTGGCCAACCGCAATATCTTCCCTGAGTGCTGTGGAACCATTGAGAACCTGTCGGAGAACCAGGAGTATGACTTCCGTGTCAAAGCCGTGAACGAGGTTGGAGAAGGAGATCCATCCAAAAAAATCACAGTCAAGATCCAGGATGATGAGAGTATGTTCAAAGTCTTAAGGCCCTATCACATTCACATACCTTGGCAAAACCAATAGAAATAAAGCGTATAGCTGCACAAAGTTCAACCACAATATGAAGGAAAAGATTCTGTGCGTGTTTGAGTTCGAGCCTTTAAGCCTTCAACAGCTCTGCGGACCTCAGGAGGAAAGCAGTGCTGTGGAAAGGACACACTCTTCACTAGTCGGGATAGTTACAAAGCTTTCTTCTTTATGAATAAGTGATACATGTTTTATGAGAATAATACAACACGAACTCTCGTAGAGGATATCAAATCAAAGAGATGTTTTGAAATGATAAGCAGGCACGTTTATACACGTAGAGCGGCTGCAAAAAACAGACTTCCAAGCAGAGGCCCCACAAATTTTGGGCCCTTAGCTTTAGTTAGCAGTCAGTGCAACACATGCCATGTCTGATGTGAAAGGGCCTAAAGGTTATGATGATACTTTACTTTTGTCAGGCTGATAAAGATTTGACACAATTTCCCAATTTTGTTGGCCAAAGTTGCTCCCAGCATTACAATCTTGAAATTCATCAAGAGCAACGCCATCAATGTGAGGAAAGGCGCCGCCATCGACATCCCAGCAGAAGTGAGGGGACTTCCTCTGCCGACACTGCAGTGGATGAAGGATGACATCGTGATCGAGAAGACCGATGAGGAGAAGATGACGATGGAGACTGAGGAGGTCAGAACTGGTTTTAATTTTATGGTATTATTATTCAGTGGAGCTACTGGTTTCACAGGAAGAAGTTCCCAGATTTATTTACTTATTCATGTTTCTGTCTGACAAATGGATTTAAGCCACACTGTTGTTCATTTATATCTATTTGTCATGTAATTTGGTTGAATGTTGGAGCAATGGAGAACATTTTTTACTGTTTCATCATTCATCACAGTTAATATAAAAGCAAAATCCTGCTTTACACAGGATGAACTGATCTCTGACCCTTCGCACTCTGGATTTTAGAAATAGTTAAATCCTCAACAAGTTGTTTTATCTTCAGGTGGACCGGACAACCATAAGGACGAAGATTGCCATCCCAGAAACCATAAGGCAGGACAAAGGCAGCTACAAGCTGGTTGCTGAAAACTGCCACGGGAAAGCTCAGAAGATCATCAAAGTCGAGATCCTCGGTAAAACCTAAAATTTTGTTTGTATAATTTTAATGGCTTGTGTTTAACACGGCATCTTTTTCAATGTGTCACGTTAAATATGCAGTATTTAAACATTATTTTTCATCCCGAATTGCTGACCTCTACATGAATTTAACACTGCATTTTCAGACCGTCCTCTTCCTCCACGGAACATCGTGGTCTCAGACATCAAAGCAGACTCGTGCTACCTGACCTGGGACGCTCCAGAAGACAATGGAGGAAGCGAGATCACTAACTACATTGTTGAGCGCAGAGATGCAAGCAAGAAAAAGTCTGACTTTGATGTTCTGACCATCAACCTCATTGACAGGAGATATGGGGTAAGACTTGGCTGCAGAGCATGGATGCTACACAGACTTATTCAAAATGAATAATAATGAATCATTTTGTTGTATTAACGATAAAAGCAGTTTGTCTACAGACAAATACACAAGTCAAAACATTAAAAACTATTTCAGTAATCAAATAAGAAACGTTTCTGTTTGTTTTTATTAGAAATGTTATTATTATCACAATAGTCCTACACAAACAGCTATTCGTCCTTAATGCCTTAATAAAATGTGTCCTACTTCTTCAGGTGTACAAACTGGACTTGAATGGTAGCTACCAGTTCAGGATCAAAGCTGTAAACAAATATGGCGTCAGTGATGGCTGCGACTCAGAGAAAGTCCAGCTGCGGGATCCATTTGGTCTTCCTGGACCTCCACGTAATCCAAAAATTATTGCTGCTACAGCGACCACAATGACCGTGACTTGGGATCCCCCTCTGGACAACGGTGGTTCCACCATCCAGGGATATTGGCTGGAGAAGAGGGAACGTGGTGCTGTGTACTGGGGTCATGTCAACCGAGCTCCAGTCACCAAACCGGCAGTGAAAGGCCTGCAGTACACCGTGCTGAAGCTCATAGAAGGAACAGAGTACCAATTCAGGATTTCAGCCAGCAATGCTGCTGGTGTTGGACCGCCCAGCGAGGCCACAGAGTGCCGCTTTGCTGTGGATCCATGCAGTAAGTGACCCCCAGACCAGCTCTGTTAATCCATGATTCAGATTTGGACTAGAAGACAGAGATTTGGATAAAAACACTGCTTTATATTTTCGGGTTATTTTTTTGCGCTCTAATTTAGATGATGAGTAAAACCAAAGTTCTCTTTTCATTCTGTAATAATGACGGCAGACACACCAATAGCTAAAATCTCCAAAACTAGGTAACTCACACGAAACCATTCTAGGTGATAGACAGCTCTTCAGGTTCAAAATGTGCACATTGGATTATTAGGTAAAATAAAAAAGTCAAGTTAGACAGCCTGACCTCCGTTCTTCTTCCTTAGACCCCCCAAGCATACCTGGAAATCCTGAAATTAAAGACAAGACCAAGAACAGCATCACTCTAACCTGGACCCCACCGGACAAAGATGGCGGGAGCCCAATCAAGGGTTACATTATTGAGGTTCATGAGGAGGGCTCTCCTGATTGGAGGAGAGTGAATCCTGCTGATAAGCTCCACCCCTCCACTGAAATCACTGTACCTGACCTGAAGGAAGGCAAGAAGTGCAAGTTCAGGATTTACGCGGTGAACTCTGCTGGAAACTCAGAGCCTGCTAGGACTGGTGACATCCTGGTCCAGGACATCCTGAGTAAGAGATACAAACACAGATAAGAACCTCTGTTTAATACAGACCTGGACATAAAAGACATGATTTCATTTTCACCAGAGTTTTAATATTCTCATTCTGATTTGTGCAGCATAATTCAATACCGATTTAAAAGCAACGCTTACATTAAGGGCAGGATCAAACAGTGTGTGAACTCAAGGAAGGCATTTTTTCCTCCGATGTTTTTTCTCTCCAGTTGAGCCAACGGTGACTCTCGATGTGACTGCTCAAGACCTGCTAAACTGTAGAGCAGGAACGACCATTAAGATTCCTGCCACCATCACCGGCCGACCGGTCCCCAAAGTCACCTGGACTTTCGATGGGACGGCTGAGACTGAGAAAAAGAACGATCTACACACTCTGCCAATTGACTCAGAGGTCAGACGTCCATATATTCTGTCCAAATGACATATTTTAATATTTTAAAGTATATTCAGCTCATTCCTCTAAAGAAGGGTTTGAAAGATTATTCAGCCCTAATAATCTTAGAAGACAAAAAATTTACTGTTTTTATGGTTTGCAATCTGAATTATGGCTCAGCCCAGTTAGTGCTGAATGTGTTAAGGAGAGGGTGAAATTCTTGTCGCAGATCCATTCCACCGACACAACCTCAGTGATTGTGATCCCAGCCTGCAAACTAAACCACAGTGGCAGATACATCATCAACGCAGAGAGCCCTGCTGGACACAGAGTGGTCAAAGTCAGAGTCAGCGTCCTCGGTAAGGCTTTTCAGACTGACACACCTGGCAGGGTGCTACAAAGTGTGTAATGACTACAATAGAAGTAAATATACAAATTAAAGAAGGATATGTTAATTAAGTTAATTATGTCCAATTAGCAGTTTAAAATATGCCAAAAAACATTGAGTCTCTCTGTCTTTGATTGATTGTTACCCTGCAGACCTGCCCGGACCTCCCAGAGACCTGAAGATTAGTGACGTGACCAGGGGAACATGCAGACTCACCTGGAAACCCCCAGAGTGTGATGGAGGAGAGAGGGTTAAGAGCTACTTTATTGAAAAGAAAACAGCAGAGGGAAAAGCATGGACCAAGGTACAGCCTGCAGAATAATGCACATTAAGCTATACACTGTTTTGCTCCCATGTATTTGACGCTGATCTTGTTCTTCCAGGTAAACCCGGCCTGCACTGCTCAGTCTCTGGTGGTGCCAGATCTGAATGAAGGCCAGGAGTACCTTTTCCGTGTACGTGCTGAGAACCGCTTTGGGTTTGGCCCCTACATCGCAAGCATTGAAAGGACCAAGGCCAGAGATCCAATCCGTACGTTCGATTTTTATTATCTCATCTATTGTTTTCTGCTCTGGCTCATCTAAACAGGTGTTATTACATTTTTTTCTATTTTATACACAGAAACCTTTAGTATAGCATAATACCTTACCATTTTTACACAATGTGCAAATCCAATATCAACCAAACTATCTTATCTGTTTTCTACTTTTGTATCATGATGTTCAGAGCATGTGCAGATGATACTGTCATACATACACAGAAAAAGCGCACTATTCACAGCAATGTGACCTTAGCAAACAAAATTGCTTCTGTACACTGTAATTTGATTTTATAGTGTACTCTAGACTGACTCTAAACTCAATTTTAACCCACACACTAGTTACGTGATAACAAGACTAACTTTTCAGACACAGCTGAAATCAAGAACATAAATCTTGAGCACTATATCATAGAAGAAAACGGTATATCCTGAATTTGATCAAATCATGACAGAAATGACATTTATCAGCAGCAGCATTACTCCTGATGAAACAAGTGTTATGTACATCATGGCTGTTTGTGATCTGACACCAGTCTGTAATGTCTCCAGATCCTCCCGATCCTCCAACAAGGTTGAAGATCCAGAGCGTCAGGAAGGGCACAGTAACTCTGACCTGGAAGGCTCCAAAGAACGATGGTGGTTCACCTGTAACCCACTACAGCGTTGATCTCCTCTGCTGGGACAGCAGTGGCACCCAGAAGGAGTCCTGGAGGAGGTAAAACTTCACCCATCTGCTCTCTTGGTTTCTACTGAGACTCGATTTGAGAACATGTGGTATGGACTTACTCTGACTTTCTGAGTACAGACCTAAATCTGTTAAAAATCTGGAAGATTCTTTTTTCTTTGTAAGCCAATAGAGACTGATCTTTACCTTTTCGAGCTGCTGTTGTGTTGGCTTTGGCTGTAACTCCATGTTGTGCTACATCCAGGTGCAACAGGAGAGATGTGGACACCACCAGCTTTAAAGTGGAGGACCTTACAGAGGGAGATGAGTATGAGTTCAGGGTGATGGCTTACAATGAAGTCGGACCCAGCCGACCTTCAACTACAGCTGGACCAATCATCATCCAGGACCAGAGCTGTAAGAGAAATTTAATAAAATGGGCAGTGAAGCTGCAGTATCAGAGTTTGATTTTCAGTTCAGTATTGAGTCCGTTCAACAGTAATCTCAGCGCTCCTTATATTGTCTCTTAAAACCCTACATAATGTGTAGCACATATGCACATATGCACAGTTACACTGTGTAGTAACAGTACACTTCAGTACTTTAGTCATATTTGTCATTTTATGGGTGCTAACCTGTGAAATGTGATGGGTGCAGAGCTGGATGTTCTGTTTGTAAATTACGTCCTTTTTAACCTAAAGTTGCAGTGTCCCAACAGCAGTATGTAATGACTATCAATACCTTTCATAAAATAAACAAAGCACAATATTTTATGGACATTACCTTGAGTATTGCCCATATTTACTTTCGTCAGTGTTAGATTTCCACCTAGAAAGACAAGCTGCCAAAAATGCAATTAAAAAGCAAATAACTGCCAAATCCTTTATTTCGTCCTCCAGGTGCTCCATCCATCGAGCTGAAGGAGTTCATGGAGGTGGAGCAGGGCTCCGACATTAGCATTGTGGCCCAAATTCGTGGCTGTCCATTCCCTACACTCACCTGGTACAAGGCTCCGCCCCACAAGTCCGACGCCAAGGTGGAGGTTCAGTACGACGAGCATATAAATAAGATTGTTTCGGACGACAGCTGCACACTGCTCATCCAGCAGGGCAAACGTCGCGACACAGGCCTGTACACGCTGGTGGCTTCCAACAGCCTTGGCAAGGCCTCCAAGGAGATGAGGCTCAACGTGCTCGGTACAATCACAAAACACACTGCAAACATATCTAAAATATCTCATGTTTTATTTTAACTTTCATATTAATTATTTATTTTCATGATAGTCAGTGTGGTGGAGTAAATTGCTGGAATTACAGTCATCGTTCACCAGAATAATTTCCACAGCATTATTTGAGTCCTGATTTTGTCTGCCTGCAGGCCGCCCCGGTCCTCCCTCTGCTCCCATTAAGTTTGAGGAGATTGGAGCTGAGAAGATCACGCTTTCCTGGCTGCCGCCGAAGGACGATGGTGGCTCCAAAGTCACAAACTACGTCATCTGGAGGCGGGTGGCCAACAGAAAGACTTGGGTGCCTGTCACCAGTGAGCCGAAAGAGCGGATCTGGACAGTGGAGAACTTGATGAGGGGACATGAGTACGTGTTCCGCATTATGGCACAGAACAAGTATGGAGTCGGAGAGCCATTGGACAGTGAGCCCGAGGTGGCCCGAGATCTCTACAGTGAGTTTAACCATCTGACTCTCAGCAGCAAACAAAGCTATGAAACCATTAATGGGTCGATTTAAAGTCAGTCATGTTTAAGGAAGCTTCATATACAGCATGCAATAATATAATTCTTCTCACATCTTCTGTTGCATTGTTATGCTAAAAGACAGCAGGAGGGCTTCGTAATAGAGGATGACACTCAGAAAACATACCAAGCAGTAATCCATCTTTTAGTCATTCTTAACCATCAGCACAATAATAGCTGTGAGATTTTAACAAGTCATGCGAAACAACAACTATCAAATCAAATGTTCTTATTTAAAAGTGAAAGTGAGGGTCAAAATGTAAAAGATGAAGGGGTACGACCTGCATCAGGTCTTCTAATCCTCTAACCTTTGATGCTATGTGTCTGCGCGCCTGCAGCTGCACCTGGTCAGGTTGAAAAGCCGACAGTTACCAGCGTAACCATGGACTCCATGACCGTTAACTGGGAAGAACCTGAGGACGATGGGGGGTCCCCGATCACTGGCTACTGGCTGGAACGCAAGGAGACAACTGGCAAACGCTGGACCCGTGTCACCCGCGACCCGATCCGTCCCATGGGCCTGGGCGAGTCGTTTGTGGTGAGCGGACTCATTGAGGGATCCCAGTATCTATTCCGAGTCTCTGCCATCAATGCCGCAGGGCCCGGACTTGCTAGCCCTCCCACTGACCCCATCTTTGCCAGAGACCCTATCAGTAAGAATTACACTCTGAAATCACTAGAATTCATACAGGTTTTAAGGACACAATATTAACCACCTCTGTCTCCTCCTGTAGCGCCGCCATCTCCTCCAACCCCAAAGGTTTCTGACTGGACAAAGTCTACAGTGGACCTGGAGTGGATTCCTCCTCTGAAGGATGGAGGCTCCAAGATCATTGGTTATTGGGTGGAGCACAAAGAGGAGGGCACTGAAGCCTGGGTCAAGGTAATACAGTTCTACAAAGCAAACATCTGATAACTTCATTGACTGGCACATCTATGATGAGGCTAAACTTAGCAAACAAAAGAAGCCAAATAATTTCATGAGGTCCCAACCCAACATGAATAAACCGCAACTTCTCATGAAGCACAAAGCCTTAGTGTCTTATTAGAATAAACCATTTAAACATTCATCTGTCTGTTAGATCCACTCCATTTTCATGTCTTTTAGGCCAAGGACACGGAAATCCGTGGCACCCGGTTTGTGATCACTGGTCTGAAGACTGGTGGTAAATACAGGTTCAGAGTGATTGCCTTCAATGCTGCTGGCAATGGTGAGCCAGGAGAAGTCCCAGAGGTTCTCGAGGTGAATGACAGAATTGGTAAGTCGGTCTGCAAATTTAGTCAAAATTCTCCCAGCAATGACTTAAAAGACCTATATGGAGTCTTTTTGGAATAGACTGCTGAGTTTCTTCCTTCCAGTTGCGCCAGAGGTTGACTTGGATGCCTCGGTGAAAGAAAGAATAGTGGTCCACGCTGGCGGCGTGATCCGAATCATTGCCTACGTGTCAGGCCAGCCATCCCCCGATGTCACCTGGAGTAGAGATGGAGCTGCACTGCCTCCTGAGGCTAAAGTGGAGACCACAGCCATCAGCTCATCTCTTGTCATCAAACCTTGCACTAGGAAACACCTTGGTGTGTACACACTGACCGCCAAAAATGCTGGAGGAGAGAAGACAAAGAAGATCACAGTGGAAGTTCTGGGTAACACACTGTTTTCATTAAAATGGAATTGTTGGACATTTAAAACCCACAGAAATTGTAAATATGTATTTATTACGTTTGATTGTGTCCTTCTCAGATGTTCCCGGGCCAGTACGCATCCCCGTAGTTGCAGAGAACCTGAGCAGTGACTCCTGCAAAATCAACTGGTACTTCCCTGAGAATGATGGCGGCTCACCTATAAGCAACTTCATTATTGAGAAACGTGAGGGTGAGCGCAAAGTCTGGACGTCGCTGTCCTACACCGCCAGCAGACAGAACGCTGTGGCTCATGACCTCACACCTGGAAAGGCCTACTTCTTCAGAGTAGCTGCAGAGAATGCCATCGGTATTGGACCCTTTCTGGAGACTGCAGCTGAGACTGTCGTCAAGGAACCCATCAGTGAGTTTAATTAAACAAACATAGTGGCCATTGGACACTAGAGGTCTTACTGCAGTAAAGAAATGAAGAAGGTTATCTGATCCAACCAAGAGTAGAAATCTAAATCACTAAGCGAGTTCCTGTCTTCAGATGTGAAGAATGTTTGTATGTTTGTTTTGTAGGTGTTCCAGACCGTCCAGAGGAGGTGGAAGTCACCAAGGTCACCAAAGATTTGATCAGCATCGCTTGGAAGGCGCCCAAGTATGACGGTGGCTCAGAGATCACTATGTATATCCTGGAAGCACGCATGATTGGCAAAGACAAATTCACTAGACTGACCAAGGAGAACCTGATGGACAGGAAATACACCTACGATGGCCTCAGGGAGGGTGACACCTATGAGTTTAGGGTCATTGCTGTCAATGAGGTTGGCCCCAGCAAACCATCTTTCTGCACCAAACCAGTCACCTGCAAGGACGAGCTAGGTAAGCAGTTGTCCATATTAGAACTGGATTATTATTGGCAGCGAACAGGGTTCAGTAAAACATGCCAGTGTCATCAACAAAAAATAAAAATGAAAAACAGTGAAATGAATGATTTCCATGAGGAACATCATGTCAGAAGATCTCTGTGAGAGGCCACTGCGGTTTTCTCTCTCTTCTTTGTCATATACAATATAAAGCAACTTGAGCAAACTGTTATAAATAAATATATAAATATAAAAATAATATTGAATTGAAATTTCATTTCTCGATTCACAGATTGTCTTCATCAGGTTACACAGTTTGCTCCAAAAATACAGTCAGAATAAAAGTTGTACAGTTTCACATTACATAATAAAATGTTCTTAGTGGGTCTTTAAATTAGGTAAACACAACCTGAGATGAACAGCAACACAACATATTGCACCATGTTAACACTAAACCAAAATGGAGAAGCAGTGGAAAAAAACAGTATAGTCTAAGTATAACCATTATTACTGAAAGCAGTGACAATTCAATGGTCAACATTACTCGTATTAGAAAATATCCATTAGAAAAAATGACAACAAGAAGGAACAACAAACAAAAAAAAAGTACTTTGAATAAAATTACTTTTTTTTTTATCAGACATGCCAGTGTGGTTTCTTACTCCCAGTAAGGCAAAAATAGAAAACAGAAATGCCGAGATCATCCTAAATGTATTAAATATTAAAAATGATGCTTTCCGTTTTCACAGAGCCGCCCACCATTGAGCTAGATTTCCGCGATAAGATCATCATCCGTGTGGGGGAGAGCTGCCTGCTGCAGGGCCGCTATACTGGTAAACCACCTCCATCCATCACGTGGTATCGTGACGACAAGGAGCTGAAAGCTGACAAACACATCATGTTCAAGAACACGCTAACCACCATGTCACTGGGCCTGATGAAGGCAGAACGTGAACACAGCGGCAGATACGTGGTCATTGTAGAGAACAGTACCGGATCCAGGAAGGGAGTCTGCAACATCACAGTTGTTGGTACGTCAACACAGATCTCAAAGAGACGTAGCAGCTAAATGACTGATTCATTTTACATTTACTGCTTTCAAGCAGACTGAAATACAAGCTTTCTAAATAATGCAGGAAGTGCGTGATCACACAACAGGGAACTCATTTCTCTTTGTCTTTTCTTTCTGCCCTCCAGACCGCCCGACTCCTCCTGTTGGCCCAGTGGTGTTTGAGGAGGTTCACAGGGAATACATGGTGATCTCCTGGAAGCCTCCTTTGGACAGTGGTGGTGTTGATGTCTCTAATTACATAATTGAGAAAAGAGACATCAACAGAGAAACCTGGACCACAGTAACATCTGCCACCACCAAGACCACATGCAAAGTAGGCTGATGTGGCTCTACAAGATGTTCAGAGGTCCTGTTAAAGGTTTACTGCAGTTGAGAGATGCTTACATGTTGTTGTTTCTTCTCAGATCCCCAAGCTGACAGAGGGCAGGGAGTATATAATGAGAATCTGTGCTGAGAACATGTACGGTATCAGCGACCCTCTGGAATCTGAGGAGATGAAAGCCAAAGATCTCTTCAGTACGTTCATGGAGTGCTATTTTTTTGCTGTTCCAGTTTAAGGTGTCAAATTACCAGTGAGAAAAAATAAGTTCTTTTTAACTGGAAGACGTATGAAGAATTTACCAAAAAAACACTCTCAGTAAAAGAAAAATGATAAATGATCTGAAAATAACTGGTATGCTCAAAGTTACCAAATGTCGTTCCCTATGTGTCTGTTTGCTCTTGCTGCCTTCCTGCAGGAGTCCCCGAAGCCCCTGAAATGCCAACAGTCAGGGAGGTGTATGGCACCAATGCTCTAGTGCTGTGGAACCGACCTCGTGATGGTGGAAAGCCCATCACCAACTACATCCTGGAGAAAAAAGAGACCACAGCCAAGAGGTGGTCCAGGGTCACCAGAGACCCACTGTACCCAGCCACTCAGTATCGAGTCCAGGATCTAGTGGAGGGCTGCGAGTATGAATTCAGGGTGATGGCTGAGAATGAGCTCGGACCTGGAGATCCCAGTGTCCCCTCCAAGCCCATACTTGCCAAAGACCCTATTGGTTAGTTTGTCAAAGACATTAAATATTTGTAAAAACAGTACTATACTCAGGTGTTCCTTGTGCATAAAAGCTCCCTGCCATAAAGTTACAAATATTTTAGGTGCCCATCTTTGCTACTAGGATTAAGAAAGCATTTCAGATTTTTTGTTTTTTTGCTCACAGTGCTCCCCAGTCCTCCTGTGACCCCCGAGGCCTATGATAAGACCAAGGACTCCGTCAGCCTGAAGTGGAAGATGCCACGCCACGACGGGAGGGGACGAATCTTTGGATACCTTGTGGAGTACCAGAAGCCTGGTGCCGTGGAGTGGATGCAAGCCAACGAAACCCCAGAGCAGTGCCCTGACCTCCACTATGTGGTGACAGGGCTGGCTGATGGACACGAGTACAAATTCAGGATCTTCACTGTCAATGCTGCTGGCAAATCAGATCCTGCTTATGTCAAGGACACCATTAAAGTCCATGACAGGCTTGGTAATAGAATCAGTTGCACTTGTTTTTTTTTCTGTATTTTAAGTTTTTTGAACAACATATTCTTTAAATACAGAAACATACAGAAATGTGCAAAATAAACAAATTATGTTACAATATTTTTATTTGTATTAAAGATTTATCATTTGAATGCATTTTTGCTTAGCTGCCAAGGCCTTCTGCCCTTTTTCCCCTACATTTACTAAATTCTGTAAACTTTTTTCCATTTGCCTCCACAGAGGAACCAGAGTTGCTGCTGGATGCCAACATGGCACGTGACCACCTGGCCATGCTGGGCACTGACATCACCCTGAGTGCCACCATCAAAGGTGTGCCGACGCCCACAGTCAGCTGGAAGAAGAATGATGCAGACGTTCCTGCTCACATCACCGTCGCTGTTACTGCCACTGGCAGCAAAGTCTTCATCCCGAAGTGCGTCCGCGCAGACTCTGGCAACTACACCATCACTGTTGAGAATGCTGCTGGAAAGAAGACAGCAACCGTTGCTGTGCTTGTGCTGAGTAAATTCACTTTCTGTTAATACGATGAATTATTGAGTTCAGATCATATTTGAGTTTTACTTGACCACAAACTTTTGTTTCCGCTAGACAAGCCTTCTCCTCCCAGGGACTTGGTAATCTCTGATGTGACCAGTGAGTCCGCCTACCTCACGTGGAAGGCTCCAGAGGACAATGGCGGTGCCGTCATCTCTCATTACATCGTGCACAAGAAGAACGTGGCTGCTGAGCAGTGGGTACCTGTTGCTGTGGCCAATAAGAAACTGAGTCTGATGGCCCTGTACCTGATGGAAGGAATCCAGTATTTGTTCAGGGTAGCTGCAGAGAACCAGTTTGGCAGGAGTGATTATGTAGTGACCAAAACACCCATCAAGGCTGTCGATCCTCTCTGTAAGTGAAAGTCATTACTGTGTGACGTGGTCTAATTTGACACACTTTTAAATAGTGATTCTTCAGCTATTTTGGTAAATTGATAGTTGTATGCCATGTCATTATTGTAGGGTCTTTATCTTACAATAAAAAGTGTCTTGAGGCAAATGTTGTTTTTGGCGCTAAATAAATAAAACTGGAATAATGTGAAGCTTTAAAAGTGTAACTGTAAATTTATACATTTGAATCCCATCAATAAAAAGCAATTAATTTCTTATTTCCTGGATACTTTAGATCCTCCTGGCCCACCCAAAAACCTGCACCATACTGATGCAGACAAGACAGAAGTTTGGTTGGCATGGGAGTGGCCTGACCGCACCGGCGGAAGTGAAATTACTGGCTTCATTGTGGAGCACCAAGAAGAGGGTCAGACTGACTGGGTCACCTTCAAGACCGTAAGCAACAATCACACCCATGTCACAGGTCTGGAGGAGGGCAAGACTTACCGCTTCAGAGTCAAAGCGCAGAACGCCATTGGCGTGAGCCGTCCCGACACCAGTGTCCCTGTCACATGTCAGGAGAAAACATGTAAGAAACATAACTTTGCTGTATTGTAAATGCTCAACATTCTCCTGAAATAATTATAATATTTCTGCTCTGTTACTCTCTTTCAGTGCCACCTACTATTGAAGTTGATGTAAAGCTTATTGAGGGTCTCATTGTCAAAGCTGGCACCGCTATTGCTCTTCCAGCCAAGATGGTGGGCATCCCTCTTCCCACTGCCAAATGGATGACTGATGGCAAAGAGATCACATCTGAGGGCCGCCATCACATTCAGTCAGCTGAATCCACAACCACCCTAAGTATCCCTGAGTGCCAGAGAGCAGACACTGGAGAGTATATACTCACTGTGTCAAATCCTGCAGGCAGCAAAACTGTTGCCCTTCATGTGACCGTCCTGGATCTTCCAGGTCCACCCATTGGACCTATTAATATTTTGGAAGTCACCCCTGATTACATGATGATCCAATGGAGAGCCCCAAAGGATGATGGTGGAACACCTATCACCAACTATGTGGTGGAAAAGAAGGATGTGAAAAAACCATGGGAGCCTTGGTCTGTGGTTAGCTCCAGTGGCACAGTGACCAGAGCCAAGGTGTCCAGACTAGAGAAAGGCCGTGAGTACATTGTCCGTGTGCGTGCTGAGAACAAGATTGGTATTGGTGCCCCACTTGAGAGTCCTCCAACTATTGCCAAACACATGTTTAACCCTCCCGGCCCACCAGGCCTACCAGAATGTTCTGATATAACAGAGAATGCTGTAACAGTGTCATGGAGCCTGCCTGACTATGATGGAGGAAGTCCTATCAGTGGTTATGTGGTTGAACGCAGAGAAATGACAGGAAAGTGGATCCGTGTCAATAAAACACCTGTTCTCGACCTCAGATATAGAGTCTCTGGCTTATTTGAAGGGAACACTTATGAGTTCAGAGTATTTGCAGAAAACATTGCTGGTATCAGTGAGCCCTCGCTTACCTCTGATCCCATCAAGGCCACCCGAGCCATCACCAAACCTGGCCCCCCTGGTAATCTTAAACTGAAAGACTGGAGTAAGTCACATGCTGACATCTGTTGGACCAAGCCTACAAGAGATGGAGGTAGTCCCATTCTGGGGTATGTAATTGAGGCTCAGAAGTCAGGAACTGCCCAGTGGGACAGAATCAACAAAGACCTTGTCAAGATGTGTGCCTATAGAGTTCCAGGCCTCATTGAAGGACTAGAGTACAGACTCCGCGTCAGAGCCACCAATAAGGTTGGAGACAGTGAACCCAGGGAGCTACCTCAGACTATCTTGGCAAAGGACATCCTGGTACCACCTGAAGTTGTTGTTGATGTGTCATGCCGTGACTCTGTGACAGTCAGAGCAGGTCAGATTATCAGTTTGATCACTAGAGTCAAAGGCAGACCCGATCCAGAGATCACTTGGACCAAGGATGCCAGAGCTTTGCCCAGGGATAAGCGCACACAGATGAACAACAACTACCCACTGTGTGAACTCATCATAGACGATGCAGTCAGATCAGACTACGGTAAATATGCTATTGTGGCTAAGAACAGCAGCGGGCAGGCACAGGCTACCATTCTTGTCAATGTCCTAGACACACCGGGAGCTTGCCAGAATATAAAAGTGGCTTATGTGACCAAGAAATCCTGCATGGTTTCCTGGGAGAACCCTGAAGACAATGGAGGAACTGAGATCACGCAGTACATTATTGAATGTCGTCAGCCCAGCCAGCGAGGATGGACAGTGGTTTCCAATGACTGCACTAAGCGTCTGATAAAGGCTCCTCTTACAGAAAGTTGTGAATATTTCTTCCGGGTCAGTGCAGAGAACAAGATTGGCGCTGGTCCACCCACTGAGACCAAGACACCTGTATTGGCAGTTGATCCCATTGAGAAACCTGGTGAACCCATTGACTTCCATATATCTGAGATAGGCAAGACCTTCTGCTTCCTCAAGTGGAAGAAGCCAGATTATGATGGCGGTAGCCGTAATCTGGGTTATCATATTGAAAAGAAACCAAAGGAGGCTGATGAGTGGGAGAGGCTTCACAAGGGTGCCATCAAGGAGACTTACTTCATGGCCGACAGATGTATCGAAAACCAGATCTACCAGTTCAGAGTTCAGACTAAGAATGAGGGCGGTGAAAGCAACTGGGTTACCACAGCTGAAGTCATGGTTAAGGAACAGTTAGTGATCCCTGAGATCAAGATTAAATTGGATGGAACCCTTATAGTGAAAGCAGGAGGCTCCATTCCTATAGAGGCAACAGTGACAGGCAAACCCCAGCCTGATATCAAATGGACCAGGGATGAAAGCACAGAGGAGATTAAGAAGGGCCCCAGGCTTCAAATCGAAAGTGGTGCAGACTTCTCTAAACTTCTGATTACTGGAGCAAGGCGCACTGACAGTGGCAAATATGCTGTTACTGCCTCCAACAATGCAGGAACATGCTCTGCTCATGCCAAGATCATTGTACTGGATAGACCTGGCCCCATCAGGGATCTCAAGATATCCGGTATCACTAATGACAGGTGTCATCTGGCCTGGGAAATCCCAGAGGATGATGGTGGCTGTGATATCTACAACTACATAATTGAGAAATGTGAGACCAAGAGGGGAGTCTGGTCTGTTCACTCCAATGCCGTCATCACCAACAAAGCGAAGGTAACTCGTCTTATTGAGGGTAATGGGTATATGTTCAGAGTTAGAGCCGAGAATAAGATGGGCTCTGGACCAGCAGTACAGAGTGAAGGTATTGTTGCTGGAACGCAGTTCAGTGTACCTGGTGCTCCAGAAGCACCAGAGGTCATCAAGATTGCCAAGGAGGAGATGACTGTTCAGTGGTCAGAGCCAGAGAAAGATGGTGGAAAGCCAATCACAGGATATCTGTTGGAGAAGAGAGAGGAGCATGCTGTTAAGTGGTCTCCTGTCAACAAGGATCCAATTCCTGGAACTCGTTTCACAGTTACTGGACTCCTTCCACTTCATGAATACCAATACAGAGTGAAGGCGGTGAATGAAATTGGCATCAGCAACCCAAGCAAGGCTTCACGGGCAATCACTGCTAAGGATGCAGTTGGTATGTTGCTAATAATAATGTTTACATTCTGCTTAATGTTGATAGTCTAGAAAGTCTCAATGGCTACACAAACCGTTCTTCTCTTATTACAGAGCCGCCTGCACCTCCTACTAACTTGAAGGTTGTGGACAGCACCAAATCCACAGTCACCTTGGGATGGACCAAGCCGGTGTCAGATGGCGGAGCTCCCATCATTGGTTATGTTGTGGAGATGAGGGCACAGGGATCTGTTAAGAAAGGTGAAGATGGCTGGAAGAGGTGCAACGTGGCAGCTCAGCTGATCATATGCGAGTTCACAGTCACAAGTCTGGATGAGAACCTTGTGTATGAATTCAGAGTGTCAGCTCAGAACCAGGTGGGCATGAGCCTGCCATGCAATCTGGAAGGTGCCGTGATTCCCAGGGAGATTCTAGGTGAGGACGTAATTGAATTTAATTATAATTCACGTAAAGTGTAACAGAAAATGTATTTAGACTCGAGAACAGTGAATTTACACTAAAATGTGATCTATGCTTGCTATTAAAATATAACTCCACTGTTACTCTTCCAACAGAGACACCCGAGATAGACTTGGATGCCAACCTAAAACAGGGATTAACCGTAAGAGCCGGTTGTCCCATCAGATTATGTGCCACCATCAGAGGCAGACCACCTCCAAAGGTGATTTGGAGGAGGATGGGTATCGACAACGTGGTCAGGAAGGGTAAAGTTGACATCATTGACACCATGACCTTCCTGGTCATTCCCAACAGCACACGTGATGAATCTGGAAAATACTGCCTGACTCTGCAGAATCCTGCTGGAGAGAAAGCTGTGTTTGTCAATGTGAAGGTTCTGGGTAAGTCCTGGTCATTAAGAAATTCATGCAGCTACCATACAGTTTATTAAAAATGCTTTTATTTTGGTGAAGTTATAAAATAATCCAAATATCATAACAGACACTCCTGGACCCGTGATGAATCTGGAAGCTACAGACATCAAACAGACATCAGCAATGCTGTCTTGGAACCCTCCAGAGAACAATGGTGGCAGTGACGTCACACATTATATTGTTGAGAAGCGTGAGATTGACCGCAAAACCTGGGCAACTGTCAAGGCCGAAGTAGCACTCGATAAGATTCCATTCAAAGTCACCAATCTGATACCAGGAACAGAATACTACTTCAGGGTCACAGCTGTCAATGAGTATGGTTCTGGGGTTCCCAAAGTGACACCCACGTCTTACCTGGCTTCTGATCCTGTCAGTACGTATCATGTCTTAATTACATCAACACAAACAGCCCAGCCACAACTGATAGCTACCCGTTAAACACAGATATGATGTTTCAGCAGTCACAGCAAACAATTGAACACAAGTATTTTACTTTGTTTTTTTTAGGCAAGCCAGATCCTTGTCAGAAAATTGAAGTCCTAGAAATCACAAAGAACAGTGCTTTGGTCGGGTGGGTGAAGCCTGCAGGGGACGGTGGTGCCAAGATTGATGGTTATGTAATTGAATACATTGAGGTCAAACCTCCTCCAGAGCCACCAGCAGCTGTGGAGGTTTGTTATGTCACAAAACTAATTCTGTTCAAAAAGCTTCAATAAACTTTGATTTCTTCTAAATGTGAAATTGTTTCATATATAGTATTTACTTTTGCTGGGTTTTTTTACACGAGATATTCTCTCATATAGTTTTGCAACTCATTAATTATATAATTTACTGCAGGTTCCTGAAGGAGAGGAAGCTCCTCCACCACCTCCACCACCACCAGTTATAGAGGAGGAAGAGAAGCCAGAGCCTGAAAAGGAAGTGTGGAACGCTTATACTACAGTTAAAGGTTTGACAGTCAGCATCAGTGGACTGAAGGAGGGCAAGAGGTACAAGTTCAGAGTGGCTGCCAAAAACACCATGGGTCTCAGCTTGTTCACTGAAACCAGAGACCCTGTCGAGATCAAGGAACAAATGTGTAAGTTGTGTCTAATTAAACACTAGTTTTACTGATAATTTGTCACACCGTGGCCATTTGTGTTGCAATTTGCAATATTTAGAAACACTCAACCATCCTTTCACTTTTTTAACTGCTTGTTAAATTCAGGCTGAGGGGTGAGGCTTACCCTAGGACTGGTTTCTTTCGTACATTTATTACTTCATCTTTCTCTAAAAGGTTCCTTAAAGGCTTCAGATGATCCACAGTGCTGCAGAGAGAGTAGTAACTAGGACTAGAGAGACCACATTTTTTTCATTCTGGCTTCTTCTCATTCTCATCCTGTTAAGTTCAGAATCAAACTTAAAATTCTGCTCCTCACTATGTCACCCTATTAGAGCACTTCGCTCTCACTCTGCAGGCTTACTGGTTGTTCCTAGAGTATTTAAAAGTAGAATGGGAGG